TTAAAATTTAAAACTTAAAAAGTTGCACATGACAGTAAAATAAGATTTATAATAAAATTGTATATTGATGTAGTTTCATAAGTAATGAATGATGATGACAATGACATTCTCGCTAGCCACCTGTAGCCAATACAGTGTTGTGGCTTGCTGCAATGATTGATATGCCTGAGTTCCACATCAGAAGTATTTATATTTACAGGGCTTATGAGAAATGAGTTTTCTTTCACTGCAAACGTTGGTGGCTACTTGGTAATGGTTGCACTGCAAACATTTTAAAGGATTAAGCAATACATAATAAAGTAATTACACCATGAATTAAAACAGACATACCTTGCTGGTTCCCTTGGAAAGCTGAAGAATTTGATGCCTTGCTTGCTGGATGACAAGCACCCAGCAGCAGCAAATGTCGTTTTCGTGTTTATACTGCAAAAAGCAATACAAAAATTATAACACCATCACGGTACTCTTAGAACTCTTTCACATTCAAGAGACAATCTCTGGGATAAACAGAAAGTTGCAGAACATATCATAAAAAAATATCATTTAGATGACAGTTCATGATAACCTGAAAAATTTTAGGCTTGAAAGAATTCTATGTTTCTAATTCCATTTGTGGTAGTAAGCATAATATTCATATACACAAATAATATGTTTGACATGCAGCTGTAATTTCGTTCGCAAATGTCTACTTTCGTTTCGCAACCACATCAAATCAAAATTCATACTTACCAATTTGCATATAATGCACCACCATAACCGCACGGAATTGTGGGTATTCAAGTTGGTTTGTTTAGGCTCTCTGATTGGTCGAGCCCAGCGTGAGTTTCGTCCGCCGCTCATAGAGGCAGTAGTTACCGTGTTGCCCTTTCTCCTATTCAAGATTCCACCCCCTGCCTGCTACTGAGGCTACTGAGCTTCTGAGCATTTGAGGGCTTTGATTAGAGATCGCAGAGATGCATACTGTTCCGTTTTAAAGTCTGCTTCTTGTCAAGTTGTGGAAGTTTGTTCTCGTCGCTTATTGTGTTCGTATTTGTGGGGCGTCCTTTTTTTTTTAGTGCGTGAAGAACGGGATATCTTGTGATGCTTGTGATTCGCAACCTAGTATGTACATGCAATCTGGATATATCACTGCTACATTAGTTGGAATTGCTTGAATCTTCCGTCAGTATAAACTGTTGCCATGTCTGGATTTGGTTTCGGAAATACTGGTTCCAGTTCAACTTCTGGATCTGCATTCGGATTTGGAGTCAACAAGTATGATTATAATACCGTACTGCTTTCTGCTTGCAGAGAGTAACATAGGTCATACTAATTGTAGCAAATTAAAATTTTGAGATTACAGAGGCAGCTGATTGCATGACTTACTTACTTACTCATGGAACAACCCTTCTGGAGGAGCCAATAATTCTGCAGCTACTCAAGAATTTCCCAGCATTTTATGGAACCCGAAGGTTTATTACCGTGTTCACAAATGCCCTCCACTGGTCCCTATCCTGAGCCAGATCAATCCACTCAATACCATACCATCTCTAAGATCTTTCTAAGATCCGTTTTAATATTGTCCACCCACCTACGCCTTGGTCTTCCCAGTGGTCTCTTTCCTTCTAGCTTTCCCACCAATATCCTATACGCATTCGTCTCCCCCATTCGTGCTACATGCCCTGCCCACCTCATCCTCCTTGTTTTGATCATTCTAATTATACTTGGAGATGAGTAAATGTAATGAAGCTCCTCATTGTGCACTATTTTCCAACCTCCTGTCACTTCATCTCTCTTTGGTCCAAATATTCTCCTCAACACCCTGTTCTCAAACACCCACAGTCTGTGTTCCTCCCTTAATGTCAGAGGCCAAGTTTCACACCCATATAGAACCACAGACAAAATTATAGTTTTGTATATTCTAATTTTTATGTTTTTGGACAACAGACGAGAAGAGAAAAGGTTCTGGATCAAAATCAAATATAGGAAAATAACTTTCCAAGGTTTTTCATTATGAGCTGTAGGGTTCACAGAGAAAAAATTAGAAATTATTCAGTGCTGGAAATTGTATTTATACAGATTTATCCTACTTACTGTCTTAGATAATAATGTGAAGCGTATATGACCCAGCATTACAGCTCGTTAGTGTGACAGTGTTGATATCACTATATCAGAGGCACGTAGGGTATTATATAGAATAATTATTGTTCTTTTTTAATGTTCCAGAACAACCACACCTGGATTTACACTTGGTACAACTGCCACCACAGCTGCTCCAGGGAACTTATTTGGTAGTACACCTGCATTTGGGACAGCATCGACACTGTCTTCAGGTTTGTCATTTGGAGCTCCTGCCACTTCACAACCAAGTACTGGGTTGTTTGGAAACCCTGCTGGTCAGACTTCTGGCCTGTCATTTGGAACCCCCGTTTCTTCTGTAGGATCAACAGGCCTGACATTTGGTACTTCATCCACTCCAACTGGACTTACATTTGGAACGCCCAATGTGGTGCAGACAGGCGGTATTTCATTTGGTAGTACCACAACACCTGCGGGTCAGACAGGATTGTCGTTTGGAACTCCAGCCACAACTGCAACAGGATTAACTTTTGGAACCCCCACTACAACTGCAGCCCAGACAGGGCTTTCTTTTGGTACCTCTTCTACCGGACTAACATTTGGAACCCCTGTTAGTTTTGCTTCATCAACAGGTTTAACTTTTGGAACTCCTAATACCACTACAACACAAACAGGATTGGCATTTGCAACTCCAACTACAAGTTCAGGAATATCTGCATCACTTGCATTTGGTACTCCTTCTACAAGTGCTGCTACTGTGGGTTTCCAAGGGTTACAGACTGCTGTGACTACAGCAGCCACTCTTGGAAGTTTGACACTTGGCACATCAGCTGCTGTCACATCAGCTTCTGGTTTCAGTCTGTCAGCACCAGCAACGACAAGTCAGGGTACAGGATTCACCTTAGGTGGCACAACTACATCAACATCTGGAGGAGGATTATTTGGGTTAGGCGTAACAAAGCCGCTGTTATTCTCACTGGCAACCAGTACAACCACTTCCGTGGGCCTTGCTGGAACCTCAGTACCTTCAACCACTACTACATCAATAGGACTTGGAGGTGTCGATGCATCACAGACTAAACCAGGGCTTGCAGGTAAGAGATAAATAAATCATGATATTTTGTATGGTAATATATCTTCAAAGAAATATGCAAACTTTTAACATCAATTTTCGTAAACGTGAAAGAGCAGGGTGACTGTGCAACACATTTTATGTAGCTTTCAGTTTGACACATAATTCATGAGCCACTTACGCTGGAAATATTCAATTTGATATGAAAATATATTACAAACCTTCCTACAGATTGAATATGAAATATTCTTTATAAGTCTAAAACTACGAACAGGACATACTGGAATAAAGTCTGTTACTAAAAATTAATGCTGCGATTTATGTTCACTAGTTCATAGAATTGACTTCTATGAATACCTATTTACTACATATACTACAGACATGGGAAAGTATATATTTTACAAAATCTTTGGCTAAAATTAAATGAAGCAACATAGTTTTACTGTCTTACGATACATTGGTTTGAATGTTTTTATGTTGGGGGGCACTATGCCACAAGCCAGAAGGTCACTGGTTCAAGTTCCAATGTGGTGAATTTTTCTCATTTTAGCTACTATTTTGAGCCACACTGTGGCCATGGGGTTGACTCAGCCTCTAACAAAAATGAGAATCAGGAATCTCCGTGGGGGCCAAAGGGCAGTTGGCACATAAGGCTGACTGTATAAAGAAAATGTGGGAGCCTTCACATTTCACAACCCTGTGGCCTTCACAACCTGTTACAAGGATAGCTTTACGTAACTTTTATTTTTATGTTACATTGCGCACTGTTGTAATCCATAGTAAATTTAAAGATATATCAGAGTACAGTCAAATTACAGCATAAAATGTTATTTACTATTTATTTTATCTTGGTGACCCAACATATTTCAACATTTAACATCATCCTCATGGTAACCATTCAATAAATACATCAGTAAAACTTGGGCAACATTACTTTACAAGATTGTACATAAAATTAAAAAAAAAACTTATGAAATCAGTTAACAAGTTAAGTACCACCGTGGTATAATGTCGTTATATTCTTTCATGCAATTGAAAAATCATATTTGAAAATTTATATACATAATTAATTAGCTGACAGCAGTGTGACGTCTTGGCTCTATTCATGAACTGTGGAGCCACAGAGACCTCGGGGCATGTGCGCAACGTGAGAGTTGCGGATTGTATCAGCGCATTGCTAGGCAACAACTCTGTGAACGCTCGGATTGCGCAGCAGGAAGTGCAAGTGACATCCCCACTCATCCTGTAACTACACAACGCTCAGTAAACAACTCTCCCCGCGAGTCTGTGACATCACGTAACAGTAGGGTGTCTATTGCTAGGCAGTGTGTGTGTAGACATGCCTGACAACAATACCTGATATCTGTTGCCGGGCAGCAGTGTGTTGTCTGTGTGGTCCGTGCCGAGCCCATGTAGGGAGCAGCAAACACTATTCAGCCAGTACTGAGAATGAGTTACCAGTCAAAGTCTAACAGTATTTGAGTGGAAGTTGCGAGCGAGTTTTCAGGGTATTGAGTGTTTGAGTAGAAGTTATGAGCCAGTTACGAATGGAAGTTAAGAGTTAGTATTCGGAGTATTCGGCAAAGCAGAAGTCAGTAAGTTGAGGGAAGAAGAATAACCAAATGCATGGTTAGAAGATTCTATTTGTGATAGTGAGTTTCCGATAACTAAGAAGGCATTGGGAGTAATTCAGTGACACTTGTATAGCTCCCATGTTATATTGTGAATAAGTGAAGAGACTGGTGTGTAGGGTTTGTAAATTGCATAAACCCATAACAGTGTTATAATTAATTGTAGTTGCAAAATGTAAGACCGGGTTCGATTCCCAGCATCACCAAATTATCTGAGTAGTGGGTCTGAATGGGGTCCACTTAGCCTCTTGAGGATAATTGAGGAGCTACTTTAATGGAAAAGTAGTGGCTCCTATATAGAAAACTGTGATTAACGGCTGTGGAGTCCATTGCGCTGACCACCCTCTATCTGCAAAAGTTGGCACTAAATTTGCCGACAAGTGGCGGTTGCTCAGTCGGTATAATTCGCTTGTGGACTAAAGGCCACGGAGCAAAGCAAACAACATAAGTGGTTAATAAAACCAAAGTAACAATCCGAACGGTGTCTTCAGAAGACAAACACATTACAGCATGATAAAAATGAGTGGAATTAACAAGATTTATGTCATCAAAAGGGGAGGGTAGCTTTTTTTTAAAAATAATACAGGTGGGATATAATTGTAGGTACAAAAATATGGAAGGCAAACGCTTAAACATAAAGAAGTTTTGTGATTTTTGTGAACTATTTTCTAACTTTACTGAGCAGTGCATTTGACAGAAATTCATAGGATTTTGAATGAGAGGTTTCACAGTGAAGGGGCAGCTAGTGTGTAACTGCATTATGAAAGCAGTGCATAAAATATGTCTACATGTAATTACGTTCTTTTCCCTGATTGAATGTCATGAATCAGTAGTTGGCACTCCTGCTTCATGTTCAAGTATGAATGCACAGATTGGCTAGCCTGGCTGAACTTCATGTTTTTCTCAGGCCTTCTAGGCAGATGACAGATTAGTGCCTCAAATTAGGCCATGACCACTTTTTTCCACATAATTTCCATTTAATTCTTTACTAATTAACCTGTTATTTGGAGCTGTATAATTTGGCTTTTTGAAAGCATTGTTAAATAACCAAAGAACCATGATAAAATAGGTGAACAGAACTTAAATAAGCGTCCTTCTTACTGTGTTTTCTGGAAGTAAAAACAACCTTACAGGCAATACACCAGTTTGTGTGCAATTTTTCTCCCTTGCATCAATATTTGAAGTCTGACTTCATCATCATAACCTTTTTTGCATTTGTTAGCCCTGCAGAGGACTGGAGTTCTGACAATATAAACTTGTTATATAAGAAAATGTTTCCTTATTTTGACATGGGTGGTATTTTCAAAGTGACAATGATGTTTAGAATTGTTTGTCACTATGTTTGTAAGTTTGCCTCGTTTGTGGTGTTAGTATGAAACTGGTTCTTATTTCAGGAGTAAGCCCTGGAAGACCAGATGCTAAAGCTGTTAAAGAAAACCAGATACCAAATGAAATACTTCAAACAATTGAAATGTTCAAGTAAGTTGTTAACAGGGTAACTGAGCATGTACACACACATGTACCATATTTATGCAAGTGTTACAAGAGGATTTTCCCCAAGCGTAATTGTCTTCAGGCAATAAGTCCATGTATTTATATATGGTTCCAAATAGAAATGCACAGATGCCATGACATTACCAGAGGGTTTCCTCCAAAGCCAGCCTGGCCGACTTCTCCCTCACCTAGATATATTAACCAGTCAGCCAGGTGTAAGAAGCAGAAGACACCAGGTCTTTAATAATGGAAAGCTGCCCTAATAGTAGAATCCTTGTTTTTATATGTTATGAACAGTTAAGACTGTAGTCAGATCTCATATAATGAACAGTGTTTTTTACTAAATAGTATAATAAACATGAGGTAACCACAACTCTCACTAATTTTTTTCCCCCTGCTAAGAATATTACAGTCAGTTTCAGGGTAAACGTGCAACCTGGGCATATATCTTACATCTATATGCAAACAATCTTTGCCCCTGAAAATGGAGGCAGTACATTCCTTCAAAATATCAGTGAACTTGTACCAGGCCACATGGTATCACATCCCATCACATTCATAATGTATAATGTCTTTGGTATTGAAGAAGCAGATTACAATGGTTTTATCCTTTTGAGTTTACTCTTACAGTTTTTGAGTCTCCAAGTTCCTGTTTTTTTTTAATTGGAGATTGTATTTTTGTTTTTGGGCTGTACTTTGAAACCCAAACCAATTCACAAGACGCTATTTCTTACATTCTTCTTACATTCTAAAGAGCATGAGTAAATTTCTTTTCTCATTTCTGTTCCAACCACCCTACTCACACACAGTTCTTTGTTTGAAATCTCAGTTCATCTGTTCATGTTAGTTCTGTTATCTTCTGAACAAGGAATCAGAGGTAATTTCATGCCATTTCATTCACTTATTCCATATTCAGACTAGTTCCTTAAGTTGTCAGGTGACAGGATCCTTTGACACCCAAATGACTTCCCTTTCATTTTGTTACTGCTTCAACCATTGCTAGTGGGGTGGGACTAAGTCCCTTGTAATGCAGCCACTTCTGGCCTATTGTACAACTGCTTAAACCATAAAATAAAACTTATTCTATAGTTAAACTTCTTGCAATATTTTGTAAATATTAGTGTTTTTCTACACTTTCACTGCTGTTTGCATTTACTCTCTGTTCTGTTTATCACCTGTTTTTAAAAAATGAAACATTACAGCAATAAAAATAACTGCAATCAGAAAACATTTACATGAAATTGCTCAGTCATATATTCGTGTTATCCAGCACACCACCTTACTAGTCTTAGCTGCGGTACAAAAATATCAACGTGTCATTTGTAAGACCTCCGAAAGTTATGAAAAAGGAAAGGAAAAGGCAATCAAAAGTGAATAAAGGAAATCTTAAAAAAACAATATTGTTATAAACACATAGCCTGATCCAGTCCATTTCTATCCAGACCATCACAGTGAAATTATGAAACTTTTTGTCATTGTTCTTATGACTTTACAGGAATTTTGTTAAAACCCAGAAGGGTCAAAGTTCAGACATAGCAAGAGGTTCAATAAAGCCTCTTCATAAAGTTCAGGAAGACACTGAATCTCTGAAGCAGATGTTAGCAGGACTTACCAGTGGGCTCCAACGGAACGGAGCATTGGCAGACAAATTAAAAGCGGATACAGCTAAGGTAATAAAATTTTGTATTCCTATGCCCTTGGTTCCTCATATGGCTGCCTACAATGTGTCTAACATTAGTTTTTAATTTTTTGGAGTTTCCCTTTCTTAATTCTGATAGTATCTGCTTCACTAAATGATAAATATTATAGTCTCTCCAGACACCAGAATTTACTATTTTGATCACAGGAACAGTATAGCTGTGATACATGTCTGTAAGTGTTCTTGTCATACAGAGTAGGATTCTTGTTGTAAACTGAGTTGTATGAAATTGTATGAAAATACTATGGAGAATTCCCCTTTTGATTACCCATCAGTTGAAAGTATTCTTTCACTTATTGTTTACTTTGATGGTCTGTGTTATATTTTTCCCGTATGACGTTTTCTTCAGTTCGATGTTCAAAATAATTTTTCACCAGAAGAACCATATGGTCATGGTTTTTATTGTTACAGAAAAATAAATGAATCTAGATATGAAAGATTCAGTTAAGTAATGTGTTTCACTGAGTTCTTTGCATGCTTTTATCAAGTGATTGAAGACTCAGGTGGGAGGGATTTGTGAGAATTGTTATTTGTGAAAAATATTGCTGTCTATTTAACCTGGCCACAAAAGTGAAATATTTTCTCTAAGAAACCTAGGTAGTCCATATAAACCTGCACAGTCAGTTATTAAAAAGAAAACAAATAAATGCAACACTCACCATGTTTCTTTGTGAGCTCAGTGTCTCATCTGTTACATAGACGTGGAATTTTGAAAAAGGACGAGGAATGATTCATATCAGAGTGCCTAGAATACATCTTCCCACCATTTCCTCATGCTCAGATAATATGCTTGCTGTTATTCTGTTTAGCTTTTGTTGATAACTTATTCTTTTGTCTTAGTTAATGACATCATTATCAAGAGTATACAGTGTCAGTGATAGTGTGATCAGAGATTGTATACCAGTTGGTGGAATTAGAATTCTCAGGGAAAATGGAATTAGTGACAAATCCTACCCCTGTCCAACTTTACCCACCACAAATTCCACGTTACCTGACTAGGATGAAGCTGTGGCACACCCCAGTTTTCTCTTCATGTAAGAATGAAATATAATGCATAATTTTTTTTTTCGTTAACTGCAGTGGATCCTCGATATACCAAGGATTCAGATGTGCTGCAATGGTGGTCGTGTCCCCCAATACTATTACATACCATAAATGTCAGTTTCACGTATAATATGAGTACCGAAGCTGTCCCCTGAACCTGCATTTTGGCAAGGGCCTATTATAATTAAAAATCAGCCTTTCACCTGCTTGCTTCTTTTAATAAACTGCATCTCTATTGACCAGTGTTCTGTTGATGTTGATTGTTTTCTTGGGTTGTTACACCATATGGTTGTGAGTGGTGCTACTGACTTTTGAGAGGTAGATGCTCTGCCCATATTCAGAGTTGAACAACCCAAGAATGGGCTCAGCATCAGTAATTAACCGCTGTAAAAGCCTAAAATCAACAGTGTTTTACTGTTTGCTGCCATGACAATATGTATTGATTGCTTTATGCGTTAAACGGTTGCCAGGTAACAAGACGGCAATGGATATGGATGGCTTTCATACTGTAGAGAACAGTGCATGGAAGAATATCTGTACAAGATAATAACTTAGTGTCACTTATTATACAATAAGATATGATATATGAAATTTGCCTTTGCTTATTGTTTGACACTTGCCAATAATCATTACTGAGTTTACTGAGTTATTGAGAGTATTCATTTTTGAGTAACAGAGTATTAATGATTTGTGCAAGACTTTCTGGCTTTTCCAGTAACACCACATTTTTTTGGTTGAATACTCTTGTTGTAGTGTTTGCATCATGCAGAAATGGCACAGTGGGCACATGAAACTCCTCCTGGCCTGCAGTATGACAATGTGGCTCCTATAGAATATTTTACAGAACTTGTTGCGGGATTTGAACGTGATATGCAGGTCTTCAGGCAAGAGATTGAAAACACTGAGAAACATATTCAGTCATTAAGTCAGCCAATGGCTCTTGCTCCACAGGGTAAGGAACACCATTATATATTGTTGATGCTGTATTCTGCAATAAAAGAAACAGTTATATATATAAATGTACCAAGGATTGCCAGAAAATGTACTCATAATTTTCATTATGTAATGTTATTAAATGGAAAATGTTAACAACTTAGATTTGAAGTTCTCATGATGGTGGCTAGGAATTATACTGTCTTCCATCGGACTAACATCTCAGAAGTTGAGTATTTTTCAGGTTATAGATTTTTGCATGAGATTTATAAACCTACAGATTATAGGAGGAGATTTAAAACAACAATGCAAAGATATACTCATCCCAGTTATTATGCATTCTCACCAACAACTCTGTGGAGAAGAGTCCTTGAGACTTTAACAGTCTCTCACATAATTAAGAAGTTCCCCACATGGTATTACAGGACATGAAAGTTCATTACTGTGTTCATAAGAACCTACCACTGATCCCTATCCTGAGTCAGATAAATCCAGTCCTGACTATCTCAACCTATTCCTTTTAAGGTACATTTTAATAATATCATCCCCTCTGTGCATAGGTCTTCCACATTATCCTTTTCCAACTAGTTGTTCAGCCAAAAACATGTGCATTCTGCAGAAGAATGTTTTAGTTTTATGTTTCAAATGGTAGAGTATCATTTAAAAATAAGTTTGATGTGTTAACTATTTTGAAACCCACTAACTAAATGCATTAAAATCAAAACTATTCAAATCCATGCTTCCTGTATGCTTAACCTCTAACGTACAGACTTTTAAATTGCCAGCAGCACTGTACGGCCAGAATTTAAATCACCCTAATTAATTATCATTGCAAACTTTCAGAAAAAAAATGCATATTTTCCGTTCTATGCAACATAGAAATATGAACCAAAAAGAACCTGAAAGATAATAAAATTTTCTACATATACATAAAAGAGCAAGTTTTACAAATGAAAATTAACTATGATTATTTTGTCATGAAATGCAAAATATAATCTTTATTATATACGTTATGAAATTTCAAAGCACTTACCCATTGATTTTTCTTCAACCTTGAATCATGGTGATATTGTAAATATAATCACATTATATACAATAATATTTTGTTCATACTGTACGCGAGTTTGAACTGCGTCACTTCACAGTTTACGATAACTCACACTCTGACGCACACATGTCTCTTCGTGAAGCAGTCCACCACACATAGTGCAACGTCACACTTTTTACAGTAGTAGAGCGTGCTTCTGCGCTTCTTATTCTGAGAACAAATACGATGTCTTTGTTTACCTTTGGTTAGCCAGTGTTGTGAATGTTTCACCTCCAGTCGACGCAGTTGGGCCCCAGATGAACTTGGCCTCCCCCAAGAAATGCCACTGAGTGTGTGATATTCACCTCATGTGACTGAAGACTCAAATCCTGCACCAATATTTTGCAGAATTTTTGTGTGTCATTTTTCCACCACATGACTTGCATAATAGATATGCATTTAGAATAGTCATATCTAGAAGGTGGAATAACAATTTCTTTGTCCACTTCCATGTCCTCCTAGGAATGCCATAACTGTTTACCATCCTGTCAGATTTATCAACAAAGCCCATGTGTGCATTGTAGTCTTCAATTACATGGGGTTTGACAGCATGGCCAGATTCATCTTGGAAGTTGCCTTCCAATGGAGGAGGGTGCAAATTCATCAGAACATACACATCACACTTGTCTTTCCAATGAACAACACTTAGATGCCCCTTGACTCTTGTAACCACATCCCCATTTTTTTCAATTTCATTGACTTGGGCCGAATTTCTTGTGGCACTCCACGCCTCTCATTCCGCACAGTGCCACACAAATTTATTTTCCTGTCTAAAAGATCGTCAAATAAAGCAGGAGAACTGAAATAATTGTCCATGTAAATTTTGTGTCCCAAGCCTTCTACTCTTCGAATTAGCTGGAGAACAATGCCACGTGTTGATGTAATTTCTTCTGTCGCACGTTGCCTTTGTTTGCCCAAATAAACTGTCATGTCATAAGTATACCCAAAAAAATCGCAAAGCTTGTAAATTTATATACCAGATCTTTTGCGTTTCTTTGAAGTATACTGACGAAAAATCACTCTTCCTTTGAACAACACTATGACTTCATCAACAGCGAGACGTTCTGCTGGATTGTAAAGTTCACAAAATTTGTTGTTGAGATTGTCAAAAATTTTTCTAATTTTCCAGAGCCTCTCATACTCTGGGTCATATTGATTTGGAGGAGCTTCATTATTTTCAAAATGTAGGAATCTCAAAATATGGAAGAATTGGTCTCGTACCATGGTGTTACGGTAGAATGGAGTGTAATATTGCTCATCTCTTGACCAATAATCTTTGAGGGTGTCCCATTGATCGTGGCCCATTTGAATAATTATTGCCAAAAAGTTATATATCTTTTCAATTGTAACATCAGGCGGTTGAACAGAAGGGTCTGGAGCATCTTGGCATGCCATAAATTGGTGGATATATCTGTTGGTTTCTTGTAACAAGATTTGAATATTTGTTGGAAAAACAGAATGAAAATGGAAAAAGGAGAGGACTGTGCATTTATATTGGGAGCAGCTGATCTGTTGATTCCACTTGGAGGACCAGTGAAGTCTAGTACCTTTGGTGAATCCCTGGGTCTTTTATCACGAAACCTAATTTCCATTACCTCTTCCTCGTCTGATGATGATGATGATGATGATGATGACGACGACATATTTGCTCGAGGTTCAATGAACTCATTGATATCTTCTAACTCTTCATCAGATTCCTCTTCCACCAATATTTCCTCCAGTTCTTCTGCAACGAGAAGTTTGGAATATTGGCCACGTTTTTGAGGTTCCATCTTGTGGGAGGGGGGTTTCCAGCAAAATCGAATAAATTATGTTGATTGACAAAGACTCGCAAAATAGTGATGCAGAGTAACTGTAATAGTATGGTACAATAGGCCAGAAGTGGCAGCAGTACAAGGGACTTAGTCCCACCCCACTGGCAAGAAAAAATAATAATTGTAATAGTAGTTGAAAAGGTGCCAGTCTGACACTGATACGGAAAGTCACGGTGACGAAGATGCCTTTTACTCACAAAGTAATACTGGCTCAGTTGGTTTATACCTCTTCCGAGACACAAAATAACATAAAAAGAAATATATGAGTCTGACAAAGTGAAAAAGAAATATTACACAATCCAACACTGACTTCCTAACTGATAATTCACCACTGAAAACCAATCCTTGGATACCTTCCAATTCCTTGAAAGCTCTGGAAGCACTGATCTGCAAGCACCGACGAATATTTCCTCTTCTGTTCTCAGAACAAAGCTGGGCTACATTTGGCTGATCAGGTCATAAACAGTCATATATAAACATAAATAGTTTCGAAACCAGGACTGAGATAAACGATTTCTTTGTTCAGAGCTAAGGAATGAACCACTGACATGACCTTACGTAGGTTTGTTTCGGTTTCAAACCCAAGGTCAAACTGTCAGCACTCCCAAAGAGTGCACATGTCCTGTGTCATATATATCTGCCATTTGGCCAACTCCGGTTGCTGCTTGCGTCATATATATGTGTCATTCAGACATTAAAGGTTAATGGCATGGAGGTGAGCATAAAGACAACTTCACCCTTAGCTTTTGTTATTTAAATTATAATAGTTGGTATAGAAATGGTGTAAGATGGATCCATTGTACCCTCACTGATAATGGATGAATATGCAGCATTGGTGGGGAAATCTGAATTAAATTGCTTAGAGAAAACCCTACCCCATTGCCACTTAGTTCACAGCAAATCCCAATCAGAATCTGTACAGCCTTTTGTGGTTATCATCATATGAGCTAATTGTTTCAGAATTGGCACTGGCAATGAAGAGGCTTCATGACAGCTTTGTTGCCTTAGCTGGACGACTGCAGACTGTTCATAATTCAGTTGAAACACAAAAGGAGCAGTATTTAAACCTGCGGAAATACTTCTTGAAAGATTCGACTAATGTGTTTGAAGAAAGCGCCAAGAAATCTGCTGGTGGCGTTATCAAGCCCAACAATGGCACAAATGTTTCTCCTGGTCCAACACCTTTTTCAGGTAACTAAATTTGTTGTAACTGTGAGGTTGGCAGTATGGTGTGGCAAGGTTCATCACAGGCACTTCCATATTAATTCATTATAGGTCCCTTCAACCCAATTTCTGTATAGATTGAATAAACTGATACATTTTGAAATATAAATTTTGAATTTATACAGGAATTGTGTTGATGGAACCTATAATAAATAGTTCACACACAATATGATGCTGAAATACAGTACTACTATGTACTAATTCCATTATTTCAAATTGCTTTGTAATGACAAAATTTAATAAATACATTTGCGCCTTTCTATATTAGCCCTTTTGCGCGGTCATTTAAATTCCGCTGCCGTGTCTCTCCAGCGGTAATATATTCAGCCGTCCATTTAAATTTTGCTCGAAAATGATTTATTCATCATTGTTCTTAAATTATATGAGATAGGAACATGAAACTTTCACTAAAATGATCTTAAAAGGTGGTTTTATAACCTTGCCTTATGATATGAGCGCCCGGTAACTCGGGAATGGAAGCAGTTGGTTTAGAATTTGAGCAGTGTATCGTACACCTTGAAGCATGAAACTTTCACTAAAATGATCTTAAAAGATGGTTTTATAACCTTGCCTTATAATATGAGCGCCCGGTATCTCGGCAAAGGAAGCAGGTGGTTCAGAATTTGAGCAGAGTATGGTACGCATTGAAGCATTCTACTATACACAGCGCTGTCTCACATTCACCACACCAGTACTGCGTATCTCATTTGGCTCTTTTTTCCGTAAACCAAACATCTTCTGTGTGGCCTTCCCTTCTTCCCCTTGGGGGGAATACAAGAAGAAATGTCTCTCCGTGAGTTGTATCGCTAGCCAGATTAGCTTCAGTAAATTCAACCTTTATGTTATCATAACAAGTGTTGGTGCTTCTGCATTTCATTTTCCATCAATTTTGGCGGCATAAGACGTAGGGGTGACCACAGAATTCATGAAGTTATTCTAAGAACTGGCTGGTATGTAGTGAACGAAAGCAGAGCTTAGCTGGCTCAAAAAAATATTTATGGTCATCCCTCGAAACGACCACCAAGGTCAGTACGATAAAATGGAGTCAACTGGAGCGATAATACATGAAGGAATGAGTTCTTTCCCCCCCCCCACACACACCCGTATCGTCACAGGGGGTGACCACAGTGTTCTGCCTTAATTTGTGGCGTTTTTCTAAGAACTGGCTGCCATGTACTGTGCGAAATCAATCGATCTTGCAAGAATAAAATTTGGACATCCCTCTTCTAAGAATTCCAATTGAGTGTGTTAGTGTGGCCAGCTCAGGGCAATATGATATTATAAACACAGCACATCACGTCTCTGCTGTTTATAACTTCATAGGAAAGAAAACACACCATCCATAACAGTTTGAATGAGGAAATGTCTTCCAAGCGCAACACGATTTTGCTGCAAGAAAGGCATATGTAACGATGACAAACTCGTGTCCCATTATATATAGAACTTCTGACAACAGGCCAGCGAAAAATCTAACACTCTACAGCAAAACCATCAATTATTATGGGCGTTATAACATAGGTGTGCAGCTGGATGAAACATTGACGTCGAACCCCCGCAGACGATTTAAATACCTTGACGAAACATACACGTCAAACCACGCTGAACGGTTAACAGTCATCCACACACACACTTGTGTGCTTAAGTAGCAGTGACAGATGTTCTTCATTATTCCCTGTGAATTATTCATTATAGGCAGAACTCATGAACAGTGAAGATGGAACTTAGCTCACCTGAAAATATTATAAACACGGGGCTAGTCCCATGATTGCTTAGAACATGCACACAGGCTGGTTAAGAGAACATGAAACTACTTCCATTAGGTGTATATGAATTACTGCTTATAGATGTCGAGAATATGAAGGACAAAGATATACATGGTACTTACTTCCTCGTGGAGCTGAGCCTTACTGGAGGAGCCACAAGTTCTGCAGCTACTCAAGAATTTCCCAGCATTTGATGGAACCCGAAAGTTCATTATCATGTTCACAAGAGCCCTCCACTGATCCCTATCCTGAGCCAGATCAATCCAATCTGTAACATCCCATCCTATCTCTCTAAGATCCATTTTAATATTGTCCACCCACCTACGCCTTGGTCTTCCCAGTGGTTTCAATCCTTCTGGCTTTCCCACCAGTATCCTATACACATTCCTCGTCTCCCCCATTCGTGCTGCATGCTCTACCCACCTCATCCTCCTTGACTTGATCATTCTAATTATACTTGGAGAAGAGTAAAAGTTATGAAGCTCCTCATTGTGCACTTTTGTCCACCCTCCTGTCACTTCATCTCTCTTTGGTCCAAATATTCTCCTCAATACCCTGTTCTCAAACACCCTCAGTCGATGTTTCTCCCTTAATGTCAGAGACAAAGTTTCACACCAATACAGAAGCACAGGCAAAATTATAGTTTTGTATGTTCTAACTTTTATGTTTTTGGACTGCAGACAAGAAGACAAAAGGTTCTGGATTGAATGGTAGTAAGCATTACCCAAGTTCAGTCCCCTCTTAATTTCCTTCTGGATCAGGTTTTGATCTGTTATCATTGTTCCCAAATATCTGAATTGTGCCATATTTTCAAAACATTTGCATCCTATCTTTATATCATGATTTTGCCCTGCATTTTGGTGACAAGACAGCAACATATACTTAGTTTTCTCAGTGTTTACTTCTAAACCAACCTCTTTACTTGTGTCAATTAAAGTTTGTGTGTTTTCCTTTATGACATCTACATTATCACCCAGTAGATTCACATCATCAGCACAGGCCAACAGCTGATATGTCCCATGTAATTTGGGTCCCACCTAGTTTCCCCGGACCTTCCTAATGGCATATTCTAAAGCAAAGTTGAAAAGGAGTGGCGATGGAGCATTTCCTTGTTTTTACACCATTCCGGATAGGAAATTAGGACAAATGTTTGCCTATACGGACTTTACTGTAAGTTTCGTTTAAACACATTTTAATCAACCTAACTAGTTTCATGGGTATCCCAAACTCTATCAGAATACTGTACAATACTTCCCTCCTAATTGAATCATAGGCTTTCTTGAAGTGTACAAATAGCTGATGTACTGTCTCATTGTACTCCCATTTTCTCTCCAATATCTGACAAATGCAAAAGATCTGATGTGTAGTTGATCTGTTACATCAAAACCCACACTGTTGATCCCCAATAATTTCATCTATATATATGGACTTAACCTTGAGAGAAGAATGGATAAAATTTTGTATGAAGTTGATAGCATTGATATCCCCCGATAATTACTACAGTCAGTTTTATCACCCTTCTTGTGAACTGGTACAATGATAGACTCCTTCCACTGATCAGGCAATTTTTCCTTATGCCAAACAGAAGTAATTAGATTGTGGATCTTAGAACATAATATGTTGCCTCCTGCTTGAATAAGTTCTGGCGGAATTTGATCAATAGCTGGTGATATATACTGTTTAAATTTTGCAATAGCACTTTCAGCCTCAAAAGGGCTTGGATCAGGTACTAACGGCTCAGCTGTATGGATTTCTGTCTGCCTAACATCACTGACCGTATGTACATTCAATAACAGAGAAGTAGTTCTTCTACCTATTCAAAATGTTGTGGGAATCTGCAAGCAGGTCACCATTTTCATCCATCACTAAGTTACTGCTAGGCTGGTAACCCCTCTTAAAGTCATTTATTCCTCTATACAGGTCTCTAAAATTCTTGTTCTTACTGTTAATTGCAAGCTCATCAATTTTGTCTTTTAGATATCCCCTCTCTTTGTTCCTGAAATGCCTGCTGGTTTCACCTCTTATATTGTTCAGACTTGGATCCTGTAACCATTGCAATTTGGTCTGCTTTCTTTGATCTAATAATTTCGAGCACCTTCTTCAAACCATGGCTTATGCTTCTTTGGTTCATAATAACCTAGACTCTCTTTGGCCGACATTTTTATATTCTTTCTAATAGTTTCCTAATTTCATTAACATCCACCTCAGTTTCCAAGTTTTCCAAAGCTGCAAACCTATTTGAGATTTGAACACAATACTCCTCTTTACCCTCTTCCTCATTTAATTCCTTGAGATTGAACCTCTCCATATGTGGTGTAATTCAGAAGTTCCAGAAATTTGAATTTTGCACGCGAATGGTTATGAGTACATCAAAACACTGCTAGGTGTCTCCCCACACACCCTTCTTGAATCAGTGTGGAAAGCGGAGTCGAGTTGAGTGGTTGGGCTTATTGTTGGTGAACGTATTTCCATTGTTTTGTTTCTATGAGTTTGCATATCTATATAAAGTTTTGTTTTAAACTTTGGAAAACCGCTGCAGAGAGCACCAAATGTTGAAGTAAGCTTTTGGTGACAACAGTTTAGGCCAGACACAAAACTTACAACTGGTATAAGCATTTCAAAAATGGCTGAACATCGACTGATGATGATGATCGTTCAGGACGGCTGTCAACTGGCAGCACACCAGAAAATGTTGCGAAAGTTAGGGATCTGATTCTACAAGCTCATAGAGTGACCATCCAAGACCTCTGTAACACCTTGGGACTAAGTTATGGTACATGTCAACGAATTTTGTCAGAGGAACTGAACATGAGGAGGATTGTGGTGAAGTTTATGCCATGACTGCTGCAAAATGAACAGAAGCAGCATCACCTGGAAGTCTGCAGGGAACTTCAACAACAGCTTCAAGAGGATCCAAACTTTCTTTCGAACGTCACTGGTGACGAAAGTTGAGTTTATGGCTGTGACCCTGAAAGTAACCAGCAATCGTCACAATGGAAGAGCCCTTCTTCACCGCAGCCAAAAAGAGCTCGACAAGTCAAGGGCAACCTTAAGTCCATTCTGATCTCTTTTTTTTTGATATTGACAGGATTGTTCATAAGGAATTCATCCCTCCTGGTCAGACAGTCAATAAAGAGTACTATTGCAATGTTCTAAGGCGTTTGAGGGAGGACATGAGGAGAAAACGTCCAGAGAAATGGCGCACGACCACATACGGCTTACATTGTGCAGGAATTTTTGGCTAAAAACAAGATGGCAGTTGTTCCCCGCCCACCGTACTTGCCAGACTTCGCTCCATGGGCCTTCTTTCTCTTCCCCAAGCTGAAAATCAAGTTGAAGGGGTGAAGATTTGTTACAGATGAGGAAATTCAAGCAGAAATGCAGACAGTACTAAACACCCTAACAAAGAAAGACTTCCAGGATGCATTTCAACAGTGGCAGAAACGCTGGGATCAGTGTATGCGCTCCCAAGGTGACTACTTTGAAGGTGATGGTGCAGTATAAGATCCGGGTAAGACATAATAGTTTTTATTAATATATTTTGTGAATTTTGGATTGCACCACATATAACATTGTGAATGCTGTCAAAAGAAGGCAGTAAATTCAAAAGATGATGGAGGATGGCTTCCCAATAGTGAACCTGTATGGAAGAAGTTATGTAGGAAACCAGCAAAGGGCAGGAGACAGTAGACAGTAGACAGTGAACGTATTCATCAATATGAGGGATTTACAGGAAAGAGAGCAGTGAAAAAGTCAGCAAACTATACATAATTTTGAGATATAGAAAGTCTTATGCAAACACTCATAAGTTATGTCACATTAGTTTACTCTTCGAGGTTAAATATCGTGATGAATATGACCATTTGCTAGGCAACGGTTTGGTAAACACTGCCTGAAAAGCAACAGATATTAACAAAGACATTACCATGACAATGGGAGAATGACAACTGTTCGGTGTGGTGTCCTTTATTCACTCCTCCTGAAGTTATAAAAGAGAGTTCATTCGTGAATTCATTCATTCATTCATTCGTAAGAGAATTCAGAAGGCAGTTCAGTAGTTCAATGTTGAGCTGTGGTGTTAACCAGCAGAGAACAGAAGCTGAAGGTGTGGCTAACTCATAAATCAGAACCAAATCAGTCATGCAGAAGAGAAAAAACTCATCATAGTCAAGCAAGGAATGGAGTGAGTTGTAGACAGTCATTGATTATGAGTTGTCATAATTGATTATAATTGTAAAGAAGTGCCAATAAATACAGTCATCTAATCCAGAACCCATTATTATTAGTCACGACAACCCCAATACTTGACAGTATATTGCATCTGTAACAAACGAAATGTCTTTCAAATAATTAGTTATGTAAATAGTTGCATGATCCTGACAAGTACTGCTCCCAGTGGTACTGGAGTGGAGTGTGATGTATACTGTTTCTGTAGTAATGAGGTTAATGGTACAGCTCTTCTGGATAATGTAAACTGACTTGCACCATTTCAGCCTTTGATGGGCGATATATTCATATGTTACACTACTATTTTCAGTGTTAGGCAGTCAGCATGGGTTCGGGTTGCTGCCAACAAATACCACTGAAACAAAATCCACTTTCACCTCAGGAAACCCACTAGGTAAATAGCGGTAAGACTACAGTTTGATATCCTATCAACTAAAAGCACTAAAAGGTAATATTTAACATGGACCTACTGAACTGGTAATACTAAAGACTTGTTTATTTTGAATTGATTTCTATTAACTAGCTCACATTTTTCCAAGATCTTACATGGACTTGAATTAAATATTTCATTAGCTTTAGTACGAAAGGCTTGTAATTATATGAATTTGTGTTGTATCTTCATAATGAAGGGAGTGGAAGATGGTAATTTATAGAGACATGTTCATTAATTTGTTAGTGCATCGGCAAATGATATTTACTTATATCTAGTAACTGTTCTTCTTGTTCTGTGTCTTTCTGTTTCTTTTCCCCCATCTTTCATTATTTGCTTATCTTTCAACTTCTTATTACAAATGTAAACCTTTTATATTCCTTTGGATTAAAATAGAGTAATTTTTAGCTTGAATCATTCTTTGGAATGTGTGAACAATAAAGTTTTAGAATGCATCACTTTGGCATAATATGCCCTTTATCTGGTGATCAAACTTTGTAATTGTTACTGTTTTTGTGTTTGTAATGGCCTGTTTTTGTCAACTAAGCATTGTATTTAAAGCAAAGTAAAGTAATATATTGGATTTGAATTGTGTAACATATTTCATCATGCAAGTTCTTTGCAGTCCATTTCACAGATTTGATACTTGTTTGTTTTTGATGTCATTGATTTCCTGATTCTTGAACTGTTGTTAATTCTTATGGGAATGGTACTACTTTGTACTAGAAGAAAGAATTTATTATACCTTTGATGGTACTTTGATCGAGGGGGGGGAGTGTTTCTAGAGGAAATGTCATGCAGGCGTTACAACAAGAAAAAGTGCGAAGATCAGAAGGAACATCACGGCTACAAGATTGGAACATGGAATGTGAGGACCTTGAATCAAGCAGGCAAATTGGAGAATTTGAAAATGGAAATGCAGAAGAATGAGGTGTCTGTTTTAGGTGTCAGCGAAGTGCAGTGGAAAGGACAAGGTGAAATCAGAAGTGATTATACAGTGTATTATTCTGGAGGTGAACGGGCTGAAAGAGGTGTGGCAATAGTGGTGCATAAAAGTGTAGTGAGGAGTGTTATTAAGAAGATTGTCTGTAATGACAGAATTGTTGCTCTGAAGTTAAAGGCGAACTGGTAGATATACTGATTATGCAAGTGTACATGCCAACATCAGAGTATGAAGATGATGAAGCGGAAAAAGTGTATGACACAATTGAAGAAATTCTTCAGGAAGATGGAAGAGGTGACACAAACAGCATCATATTAGGAGATTGGAATAGCCTTGTTGGAGATGAATCATGTCAGAATATTGTTGGATCACATGGACTAGGAAAACGGAATCACAAGGGTCAAATGCTTATTGACTTTTGTGAAAGAAATGGACTGATTGTTACCAACACTTGGTTCAAGAAGCCAAAGAGAAGACTTTACACATGGTAGGCACCTGGGGATTGGAGGCGGCATCAGCTGGACTACATTCTTGTGAAACATCAATTCAGAAACAGTGTGAAGGATGTGAAGACGCTGCCTGGTTCAGATATTGACTCTGACCACAACTTACTGGTTGCCAAGTTCCGAACCAGGTTGAAGAAAATTATAAGATTTCAAAAGCGCAGACCTAGATGGGATTTGGAGAAGTTATATGCTCAAAGACAAAGCGTGCAGGAGACCCTAGAAGAGAAACTCGGTGCAATTGAAGGTGAAAGCGGAAATGCTGAAGTGCAGTGGAACAATATAAAAGAATGCATGTTAGATACTATCAGTGATTTGGTTGGTAAAGTTGAGAAGATAGCAAGAAAACCATGGGTTACACAGGAGATGATGAGTAAAATGGAGGAGCGAAGGAAATGGAAGAATGTCAACAATGAAGAAGGCAGGAGGAAATACAGGAGACTGAGGAATGAATTGAAAAGAGCCACGGACAGGGCCAAAAAGGAATATCTTGAGAAGATATGTAATGAGATTATGGAATTTCAAAGAACAGGCCGTTATGATTTGATGTACATGAAGACAAAAGAACTAGGATGGAAAAAGAACCATGGGATTCAAAATATTGGCATCGAAGACTCCCAGAGGGATAGAATAGTAGATCAGAGGCAAGTGCTGAAAATCTGGGAAAATTATATTACAGAACTATATGATCGACCTAATCGGCCAGAAACCTTAGAAGTGGAACCGGAAGAAGAAGTAGATACAGACGAGAAAGGACCATATATTTTACAAAGTGAGGTGGAAAAAGCTATCAAGGAAATGAGGAAGGGAAAGGCTACAGGAGATGATGATGTACCTGGAGATGTGCTCAAGTTACTGGGAGAAGGTGGTTTGAAAACACTGACAAAACTAATGAACACCATATATGAAAGTGGAGAGTGGCCCAAGGACTTTACAGAAGTGACAATGATTGCCTTAAAGAAAAAGACAAAAGCTACAAAATGCAGCGACCATCTCATAATAAGCCTTATTGCTCATACAGCAAAGATACTTAAAAGAAGAATTGAAAGGAAAATAGAGGATGTACTTGGAGAAGATCAGTTTGGATTTAGAAGAGGAAAA